GGTACCCAGCCATGATTTTCTGAAAATTTGTTGAGTTGGCACGGAATGACCCATATACGTAAATTCTACGACAGAACATTTTGTAAATATGCAAAAAACACCAATAAATCTAAATGACAGAAAAATGGTGAGATATGATAAGCTTTTTAAACACTTGAAGAGATATTTATCTCTAGATGTCAAAAAGAAAATCATTGTACATACATACAAAACATGACTAGAAAATAATTTACTAACCTGATTGTCTGAAGAACCCTGACAATGCTCGCCATGTTAAGCACATTTCAAGAGTAACTATTTTACCATCCCATGATTGATTAACAAAATGAGAGAATAACGCTGTTATTCTGGCCTTAGAATTGTTACCACTGTACGAAAACGTTCTGAAGAATTTTTCAGGATTCTGCACATTTATAAAAAAAAAAAACCAAATTAAATTTTGTTACAGTACAAGTAAAGAATTATTCAGTATCATAAATTACAAACATAACAAAAACCAACTAATAACAAAATAATGAGATTACAAACCCTCGCCCTGTTGTACTGAAAATAATAATGGCCGAACGAGTCAGTTCAGCCTAGTTAAAAGGGGGCCTAGCATCAGAGGCCTTGCATGGCAAGCCCATCAATTGGCCAAATGATCCGCTCGAGTTGGCTCTGTCTGTTGCGGAAATATAAATAACATTCTAAAATCTGCACATTACTTCTGATCAGCACCAACTTTGCGGAGGATTTTACAACTGCTAATGTAGAAAACAACAGCTAATGTAGTAACAACCGTTAATGTAGCACACTCTACAGCTTATGTAGTAAACCCCCCCCCCCACCTGCTAATGTATAAACCCCAACAGCTTTATGTAGTAAAAAGAAAATCAACCCCAGCTAATGTAGAACGCTCAACAGCTAATGTAGTAACGAAAATTGCCTCACAGCTAATGTAACTACTATAGCCATCTAATGTATATTATATATAATATTGCATTATATATATAATATTGCAATGTCACAATACCATTGGCTGAAAAACATGCAAGGAAATAAAATCAGGTTGTCTGCACATTTCCTTAATGGGAAATAAACCTGTGAGGGCACTTTTTAAAAAATGGTCGGCTATGCCTATATGATATCGGGTGCTCATCTTAGTAACCACTAATCAGTAAGGCATAATGGTCTCACATTGTTCATGTCGCAGTCGGTAGTTCCCCATTACCTTTAACATGTTTTTTCAACTTCCGTTATTCTTATTGGTTTCAAATTTAGCAAGCAAAGTAATAAAAAAAAAAAATATCATAATAGCAATAATAAAAATAATAATGGTGGCTATCTTTATAATACATAATAGAAATGATAAAATGGTAAATAAAAAGAGTACTTAATAAAATTATCAGAAATGTGTCATAATAGTAACGGCTATTTTTTTAACATATTGTATGCAATATAGTAATTAAAATAATATAATGTTCAATAACGGTAATCAAAAAGAGCACTTAATAAAATATAATACACCAGCAATGTCTCATGTCTTTAATTCAGTCCCTTGCGATTTAAGATAAAGGATCCAACGTATTTCAGTACGTCTTTCCTTAAGGGACCTGTAGGTGGACCCTATAATGATGAACCTTAAATATTTGATGGCCTGTAGAATTAAATTTTTCACTTTACAGGAAAAATTTTTAGGTTATCCCTGACAGATTTTTTGTGAACACACACCCCACACACAGACTGCGGGCTATTGCAATAATTAACACTATGAAAAGCTTTAATAATGATAATGTAGAATTTAAATTAATAAAATGGACATGCTGCACCAAAAGACATGTGTGACATATTTAAATGTTTCATGGTAGATGTTCCTTACCTTCATGACTTGGATTATAGCTCCAAATGCTTTATCCGAAAATGCTTTCTGGATATCCACATGGAAGGCACTCAAGTCATTGTTGCAATAATAGCTTATCAAATATTCCAAAGCTTGCTTATTTGAAAATATAAAAGTACAGAAATTATTGGAACAAAGGTCCCAGAGGAACATGTTCAATGTTAAAGAGTGTTTCTTTGTGTTACTGATTCTGTTATATTGTTTTAGTTTATCCTTATGGAAACACTGATAACATCAATTATTAGACGCTTTAAAAAATAATGATTAATTCTTACATTATTAATCTGTCGCACAAGAAAATCGAGCAGCCCAGAATTCCATTGATAATTTGCTTTTTCATTGGTAAATGTTACGTTGAAAAACCCATTTACAACCTGCATTAAAACAAATGTGATATAAAAATGTCAAGAACACAATCTTTAAACAGGCATACTCAGATTGAAGCAGTAGCAGACAGAAACATGATTTTATATTAAATATTCATGAGCAAGGGCTGGTAATAGCCAAAAGGTAGTACATTAATATGCAAGTGGCAATTACTTTTATAAAACTAGAGCAGTCACTAGATAGAGTGCATAGCTTCACTCAACAATACGCAGGCCAGTTATAGGCGATTCCATTTTTGTCTTTTATGCTAGAGGGTATATCAAAGGGAAAAAAAATTAATTTCTGAGGGCATGTCCTTGTCTTCCCAAAATTAAACCACCTTTTTCTTAGAATATTATGTACCACTCCACTGAATTTTAGAATGATCCATTCCTTAGTTTTTGCATAATCTTGCTAACAGATGGATAATATATTCATCTTGGAGAAGGTACAATACCATTTATAGTACTATAAACAGGAAATATACTACTTTATTTTAATGGGACCATAATTTTGATATCCAATCTGAAGTATGAGACAATTAGAATACACTCCAATTCACAAGATAAAATTACACTGGCAGGTTTTTTTTAATTTATGAAGCATATTGTTTAACTAGCATGTAATTAACAGACCAGTTACCCCACCCTCTTGCGCTGTCCTTACTTAGCGCTCCCTCTCTGAATGTGTATTTTGGATCCACCACTGTGTGTGCACCAATACAGTATGCAGGGGCAGATTTAGGGGGGGCAGCCCAGCCCCAGACCCCCTTTTGGGAGCTAAAAAAATGGAAAAAAAAAAGAAAAAAAGAAAGAAAAAGAAAAATAATGATAGCCCACAACGCCTCAAATGTTATTTTCGGGCGTCTAGAACACAAAAATTTCCCGGACCCCCTAGGGCATTGTTGTCTCGATCGGCCCGAATTTCGGCCCCCCTTTTGGATATCTCTGGATCCACCCCTGTATGTATGCTAAATACTTACCACAAGATAGTAAAAAATATCAAATGTCTGAAAATACTCCAATGTTAAGGTTAAAACTTTGTGTGTTCTTCGAATAATAGCATTTTGGATTGATTGTTTATCTCCACCATCATGCAATTCAAACTGCCTTAATGCTTCAGAGAACAGCTGCAAATACTGCTGAAGCATTTCCCCACCGTAAGTGTTTGTCATTAATACTTCAATTGTTCGTAGAACTACATCAACTACACCAGCTCTTTGCCTAGAATGCAGTTCCACATTACATCTATAAAATCAGATAACAGAAAAAAAAAGATTAGATTTAGTCAGCCACTTAATAAAATAGCATTGTGTCTACTGCTTGAATTAGTTTCTTTTTTAACCAATTTTTACTCACAAGTCAGCAGAGGTTGGCCTAATTATTACACATTATTTTGGTTCTTCCTAGGACAGGCCTAGAATTGACATCATATTTTGTAGGTTTACTAAACAAAGTCAGCTGCATGACTCTTCAACCTCACAAAAAGGCAAGACTGTTTCTATCTTTAGATTGACACAATGTCGGGTATCCCATCATTACTCCAACCAGATTTACTCTTACAAATATAGAGATGATAAGAAAGTGTCTACTTGTCCAAGTGACACAATGTGTCTTAGTAAATGCATATGCTGAGTAAAACTTAACGATTTACCTTTCTCCACATGTGATATTTTCTTCTTTACCATGTTTAACCAAGTCAGGAATAATTAACTTCAAACACTGATAAAAATTGAAAATTGTTTTATTTTCAACTGATCCTTTTAATGGACACAATTGGCAACAGGTGTCACTAGGACAAAATTTGCCCAAAGACCCAGGCAATTGGCTAAAGTGGAAAAAAAACTGCCAACCTTAAGGTTAGGAAATCAAATTAAAACTGATGTGTCATTCACTCTCACATGTCATGTTTCTCATATGAAATAAGCATTTTACATCAGTGTCTTAAAGGTTTCTTATATTTACTACAATATGGGTTATGCTATATGTTTAGTGCTTCCACTACATTTAAATCAAATGTTAAACTAACAGTTGATTTTTGACTTAAGAATGTGTTTAATTTGGTGTTCAATGTGTTCCATATGTGTTTGATCCAATGACCAGTGTAGTAAGGTGAAGTGCTTAGAGGCTTTGTAATAGCATGAAGCGCTATATAAGAACGACATATTTATTATTATTACTACGCAAGTTTCAGACTGTCACTAAAAATCTACTTACCCCGATATCAGATGAAGTTAAAAACCTCATTTGATTGAGTGAAAAGTCAACAAAAGCACATGCTACAAGAAAATCAAATTTTATTCCCTTCAAAATGTCCAGTGCTTCAAATCTCAGAGTTGCTAAGAATGTACGCTGCATCAGAAGATCAACACTGAGAAGTGGCTGAATCTTTACTAACATTGGTGAAAAGTCTTCCCTGTAAAATAATTAATCATAAGATAGTATAATAAAAAATCAGAAAAATGTGATACAAGCCATAGTAACCCAAATTAATCCTTGAGTATATGTAGTTTGGTTTTAATAATATGTTAGACTTATATAGCAATTAACGCCAACAAGGCCTCGAAGCGCTTCACATTATTACCCCCGGTCATTGGATTAAACGCCTATGAAACACAAACTCAAGCTCCCTGGGGGAGTATTCCATAAAGGTGCAGCAGCTACATCAGCGCATTTTGGCATTTAACCCTATCAGATACCCATTTATACTCCTGGGTGGAGAGAAGCAATGCAGATAAACTGAATTGCCCAGAGACACAAACGAAATGCACAGCGAGGGGATTGAAACCTCGACCTCGAGGTTGGGAACCATACCGTTCCGACTGTGCCAAACCACATTCTTGTTTGCTTCGGTATTAAGATTACTATCAAAATAAGAAGATATAAATTTAGTTGAATTTGGATATATCTATATTCGAAAATTTTATGGAATGAATAGTTAACATTGTTATTAAATATCAATTATATTAAGCAAAACAGAAGATTATTGTCCATTTTATTTTGCCAATTTTACTCTATATACCTGTAACAAAACAAGTTAATTACATTTGATGAATACGTTTGCCTTGTACAGCTTTGACATCTAGGTTGTCATGACCCCACCAACGATAATCATTAATGCTATACTGGTTAAGAGCTTTTGGCCATTCCATCGGCTTTGATTCTTGACGAACAAAATGAAGTAGAGGAAGTACCAAGATAAAAGTTAGATCCACCTTTCTTGGATTCATGGCTCTGTTGCAAATATTTTCAAGTGCCTCAGCTATGCTCCTACAAATGATATTGAAACACACAAGAAATAAAAACCACAGTATGTTTAAAAATGATTGGGCATGGTCCAAATAGACACTGTCTTTAACACTTTGAGCACCATATGTTTTTACAGTTATCCCACATTTAAAAAATCTAAAACTTGTATGGCGCGATTATAAGACGAATCCCTATTTTGCGATCGTAATTTTCTATTTTAAACAGGTAGCTTCAATTTATTAGTCTTGTGCTTGAGAATTACAGTATTGTAACATATAAAAATTAATAGTTAATTATGGATGCTTTTTCACAAATTTAACTCAAATCCTCTGTAATTATCATGTTTGGAAATTAATGTCAAAATTAAGTTACATAATTTTATTTTTGTTCACTGCGATGACATTTCTATTTGATGTTTAAAGATACCAAGATATAAATACAGCTATCAGGCGAATGAAAGTTTTTCACCAAATGAGTGAGTGGGTGATTTCAAATAGCGCTTTTCAGGCAGTCCAGACATCCAATTGAGCTCAAATCTTTTTTACACAAGAACTGTAATAGCACCCTCTATTTGGCTATACAAAAAAAGATATGTTTAAGAGACAGAAAGAATGACACAAGTCACTAGCAAGCTCACTAATTTGGTTATGTTGCCAGGCTCGAGGTAGTGGGTGTGATTCCCACCTGAATCACTGCAAATTTTTTTTTTTTTGCTAGTATTTTGGAATATACTGAGTATTTGGTATGACAAAACATCAGGTAGAGCAAAACATCACTCCTATGATATGTATGTAAAGGTCATTTGTGGAACTGAAAAGTATAGTAGGTACTAGAAGATTATGGAAGTTTAGAAGAGAATTAGAGAATTAGGTGAAGAGAATTTGAAAAGTAGGCTCTTAAAGACTTAGAATGAGATGGTGCAGATTGCAGAATATGAATGTCCACACAACTACACAATTAAAGTTTAATGGGACAATCTCTGATTTCCTCAGATATTTGTCACATAAAACTTGACAAGTAAAACAAAGAATACAAACTGGCATTAAACTATGAATAATGATAATTGGACAGTGAATAAATTTAAAATATGTTTTAAAATAATCTATAAAAAAACATAAACTATTAAAAATACCTCAGATGTTGACCAGGGAATGTGTTTTTAATATCGTCTATCAGTTTCTCATATTGCTGTTTCTGCAAATCAGATGGAAGAACTAGCGACTGAAGAAGTAATCGTCTTGTTTCATTTTCAAGAAATGGAAAACGTTTATCAACCAAGGCTATTGCCAGTCCTGAAACCAGTCTTTGAGATAACATTGTTTGGCTAAGATTTTTCTCATCTCTTCCAATTTCTTTGAGTTTACCATTAAAGTATTTTTGTAACACCTGCAATTTCGGGGAAAAATTGAATTTTTATAAGTAAAAATTGAGCCTCATGTGATAATCATTTATGAAGAATAATTTTACATTTTAAAAAATTAGGAAAATAAAATACACAGTACACGCTAACATACCTCATATACTGTAGTACAGTACTTTTATAACTTTTTTTTTTAAATCACTGATAAACATTATAAAATATGGAAATACCTTTTCCACAGAAAATTCTCCTGGCTTCCACCTGTCAGCAAAAGAACCACTTGTATACCAATCTGAAATTACAAACATATTGGCCATACACTTTGCAACATTACATAATCTGTTTATCGCTTCCAGAGCAGTTTCCATGCCTATCATCTGACCCTTCTGGTTGCATACAAACCCTTCCCACTCTGGCAGATATGAAAGCATTGCGTACATCTGATCTTGTAAAAGTTTAGTCTGTACGTCTGAGCCCAAATGCAGCACATTCTTAAGGCTGTTCCAAAGCCTTCCTTGGAAGGATTTACTCTCAGTTTTTGGCTTTCTGAAGTTCTCAGTTTCCTTAATCTGCATAGCACCATCAAACTGATGCCAGACACCTGTAAAAATAATCCGAAAATTTTCCACATTACCTTAATGATGAAAGGGGTTATACAGTTGTGTAATAATAACAACAGGTATAAATAGGAAGCACACTACTGAGACTAACTTTAAGTTAATTCTTTATTCAGCACAAGCTTTCGCTAGCAGTTATATTGCATCATTAAACATATAGCATCAATGGATTTTTTATGTTCCTCATCTATTGCTAGTTATGCCATTACATGCATATAGGTGAAACTATCCAAACTATTAGACGACAAATGAATGGACACAAATTGACGTAACTATAAATACAGAGGATGGTTGCTATCCATTCGAATTTATATTTTTAAAAACCCACTGTTTATCTGTGCAGCTTTAAAATAGTTTTAAAAACAGAACTGATATAGTGACAGCTAAACAAAAATGTATTAACATCAATATGGCCTTAATATAGTTCAAGGCTCTGTGAATTATTACAAATTTAGTTTACGTTTATTGATCTACAAGATGGCATTGTTACTCAGGGTGTTTCTCCTGACTAGAAGCAACCATTCTTGAGAACAGTTCTTATAAAGAATGGTTCTTTGTCTAAGTAGAAACAGGGCCAACAAAAAATAAACATTCTTCCTACCAAAGGACTGTTCTATGTTGGGTAATTTTTAGCAGCAACACAAATAATGCCCAATTTGAACAAGTCATCCTAGAGGCTTTTAAACCAATGCTTAATAATACTGTTGAAAAGAACCCAATTCTCAACTCCATATTTAGGACTCTTGTATGACTTTACCTTTGGATATTAATTAACTTCTTCAAAAATGGATCAGGAACGTTGGCGGCAGATGCATCCACCCGTCCAGTGATATGATATATTTATAGTTGATATTCACTTATTTATTTATTAGTGAAACTTTCAATAATTTATCCCACTCCCTGCTGTAAAGCGCAGAGGTATTTTACATCATGCGCTATGTAAGTCGACAATTATTATTAGGCTAATATAGGGACCAATATTGGCCAAAGGTAAAACTTTTGTTTTCAAAAGCAACAATATATTCTGATTGTTGAGAACGAAAGTAAACTTTGTTTTATTTGACTACAATCACAGATGAGCTTTTATGGTATAAGGAATCATAACTGTTTTTATCTGGTTTATCATGCACAATCAGGATGGAATCGAAATGCAGTTTCAGCACAGTCATTTTTGTGGTAGTCTGATTATCAACATGATTAGAGTAAGCATTTCCAATACCCTTTTCACACTGACTTTTAACAATAGACCGAATCGGCGGCTCGGGTCAAGTGATTTATTGTGGATATTAGGGTTTGTTCACATATATCGTGATTGCGAGACAACAGTGCATTAAATATGGCTTTGCGTTGTTTTTGATATTAGTCAAGTCACAGATGTTGCAAATGTTGGTTGGAATGCAAGTTATAATTTGGTAAATCACTTAGAAGTGTTCCAAAATTAAATTTTCAAATACTTATCTGTTTGGTTTGGTAAGGCTCCAATGGAAAGCCTGGAATTTTTTCAAGGAAAGGTACGGTACCTTCACGACGTGCATATTGCTCCTGTGAGTCGTCGCTGGCTGAGGTACTTTTTAGGTCTAAGCCAAGAATATTATTCAGGGCAAAATGCTATAGCAGCATGAAAAAAAAAAATCTCCCCATTCCTTGCAAAAGTATTATTTTACAGTTTATTTTAAATCCAAAATTAAATCATAGGATGTTTGTAGTTACTGCTGAGGATAATGATCATCATATGACATTATTATTATGTACCAACCAGGTCTATTATCACCAGCCTGTTTCACAAATTTGGTTGAGCAATCAGTACCTTTAAGGGTTATTTTCTACTTTATTACCTATAGTACTCGACTACAGAGATATAGAGTTGAGGCATAAGAACTCCCTCCCTGTTCCGAGCCCGGTGAAGGCTTAACACTCACAGTGTAGCCTAGGCCTATCCTAACTGTATGTCTAACTTACTGTACACTAGCAGCATTCCAGAGCCTAAATAAAATGCACAGAGATTGCCAAAGTAATTATAAATCACTATTTAAAAAGAAACATAGGCCTACTGCCTTACTTTACTTTGGGTCGCTGTCTAAAAAACATCATAACTCTCTCAATATGCTGTGTTCAATGAGCGCACTGTGGTTTACGATGTGTATGTTTATATTTCGTACCCACTATATGTCAAATGACCAGTAATAGCTGGAGTCGCTAATTCGGTCTACTAGTATCAAGCTGTAACAACTTTGATCTTGCAAAATATTGTCTTTGTTTCACACCAGGGACGTATTCAGGGGGGGAGCCGTGGGAGCCGCGGCTCCCCCCCCCCTTTGTACATAGTGTTAA